CTCCATCCTCTTCCCCGTCTTACTTATTTTCTCTGCCTGGCAGCCCCACCTATTTCCCCTCTCTCCTATCTAGCTATTGGACCTATTGGACATTCAGCCCTTATTAAACAATCAGGTGTTTTCTATAGGCACAGTAACAATGCTCCACAGAGTTACACAAATACAACATAAAAGGATACAACACATCTTTGCATCATTATAGAAACATTCCACAGCATAAATGAAGGCAACACATCTTAAAATAATATTCTACAATAGTGATGTTTATAAACTAGTCATTGTTTGGGGAGAGATGCCCTCCCTCTGCTCCCATCCACCAATGTCTAAGACAGATGGGGAGTTGACCCTGAGGTAACAAGAGTGGGAGAGCTTTATTGGGGTACACAATATATCACCACAGGGTTCATGGCATGGCTCACTGTCACACTGCAGTTTATAGGATGAGATATTTAATTTTTTTATTTTATTTTTTATTTTATTTTTTTCTCCTTTTATTTTCTCTTAAATTTTGTTTTATTTGGGGCATGTGCAGAGTCAGAGAGTGAATTCAAAGGGACTGGGATATTAATGGGATTAAGATACAGAAGACAGAATAAATAAATGAATTAAATTAATCAAAAATAAATAAATAAACCTTTTAAAAATAAACTAGCTTAAATGGCTCAACACTTAATAACATAAAACTATTTCTTTCAACAAAATCAGTAAACATAATTGTTTCAAACATGTTACTCTTCCCAATATTAAACTCACTATTGTAAGGAAAGCTGAACCTAAAATCTGTAGATTCTTTGGGAGTTACTTGCAAAGAACATCATGATACCTCAGAATTAAAAGCCTATTCATCAATGTCAGGCACAAAGTTGAAGTACATTCTGATAGTGAACATGTACAATATAAATTTCATGACACCAACTGACATTTAATGAAGTACATTATTTTGTCATAAACCTCAATCACTTCTCAAGTTACCTTTTACCAATTACATACAAAAAGAATGTATTACTTTTATTTGTAGAGTCAAAAATAATGAGGAACATAATCAGAAAGTTTTCTCTGGTCCCACCCAGCCTATGGTGCTGTGGGATGTTCTGTTTGTCAAATGTGTTGCTCTGATTGGTTAATAAATAAAACACTGATTGGCCAGTAGCCAGGCCAGAAGTATAGGCAGGACAAGGAGAGAAAAGAATTCTGAGAAGTAGAAGGCTGAGTCAGAGACACTGCCAGTCACTGCCATGACAAGCAACATGTGAAGATGCTGGTAAGCCATGAGCCACGTGGCAAGGTATAGATTTATGGAAATGGATTAATTTAAGGTATAAGAACAGTTAGCAAGAAGCCTGCTATGGCCATACAGTTTGTAAACAATATAAGTCTCAGTGTTTACTCGGTTGGGTCTAAGTGGCTATGGGACAGGCGGGTGACAGAGATTTGTCCTAACTGTGGGCCAGGCAGGAAAACTCTAGCTACACTATGGTCCCACAGCTGCTTATAAAATAATCACTCAGAAGCTTATATTAATTATAATTGCTCGACCATTAGCTCAGGCTTATTACTAACTAGCTCTTACATTTGAATTAACCCATAATTCTTATTTTTGTTTAACCATGTGTCTTGGTACCTTTTCTCAATTGTGCCTTGTCATCTTGCTTCTTCTGTGTCTGGCTGGCAACTCCTGACTCTGCCTTCCTCTTCCCAGAATTCTCCTCATCTGCTTGTCCTGCCTATACTTTCTTTCTGGCTACTGGCCAACTATCATTTTATTTAAATCAGTGTACAAAGGCATTATCCCACAGCATTTTCCCCTTTTTGTCTAATCAAAAAGAAAAATTTTAACTTTAACATAATAAAATTACATATAATACAACAGTCATCAAGCAGGAATTACAGTTATAATATCTAGTCTTTTTTTATTTGGAAAAATTAAAGAAAATATTTTATCATTTATCCTATATTTGTGAGTCTAAAGTTTCACATCTAACTTATCTTTTATCATAACCAAGGAAAAATTATAACCATAACTATCTAGTCTTCAACTGCTATGGATATCGCTCTGTATAAATAAACACTGATTTTCCAATAGCCAGACAGGAAGTATAGGCAAGACTAACAGAGAGGAGAATTGAGGGAACAGGAAGGTAGGGGACTGCCTGGAGCTGCCCTCCAGGACAAGGAAGATGTAAAGTACCTGTAAGCCATGAGCCACATGGCAAAGTAAAGATTAATAGAAATGAGCTAAATATAAGAGTAAGAGCTAGACAATGATAGGCCTGAGCTAATGGCCAAGCAGTTTAAATAATGTAAGAGTCTGTGTGTTTATTTTATAAGTGGGCTCCAGGACTGGCAGGACTTGGTGGGGCTCAGAGAAAAAAGCTCTCCAACTACAAATGGCAGGTTTCTGCTTCATGTCTCACATGGCAGCTAGACACTGCAAAATGTGGGTTTGAACTACTGGCAGGTTCCTGGCATTTGGGCTTGACCTATAGTATGGCGGGAATGAGGCGTCTGCCAGCCGCATGCACATTAAGCTATGTGGTAGAGTTAGTCTTTACTAGTATTTAAAAAAAAAAGAGGTTTCTGGGCTACACACTGCTTTGATAGAAATACAGACCCACTATTTCTGAGAGTTGATGGCTCCCAGAGCTGGCAGAAAATGTACCACCACCATGTTGGGAAGCTGAAGTGGGCGGAGCCAGCAGCCACAGCTCTGTTTCAGGCTTAGAAGGCTGCAGTTTAAAACAATAGCTTCACAATAAGATTGATTCAGGTGAAATAGTTTACAATGTATATAAAAATGTACGTAGGCTTAAATGAGAAAAAAGGAATATATACAGTTATATAAACAGATAGTTTTTAAAAATAAAGTCTTTAAAGAAACATTAAAGGTAATAAGCCACATAAAGATGGCTATCACACAGAGAATCTAGATTATGTTGTGTTTGGTATTTGTGACTAAAGAAAAACATTTGATTGTAAAAGCTGTTAAATTATGCTAAAATGTATATTTTAAAGGTACCTTGACTTCAAAATTTGGATATAAGGATATGTTGCTTTGGAAAAGAGG